TGCCTAGACTTTTTCACACTTGGGTCAACTCAAATATTAACTTTGTTTATCAAATCTCCTTAAACCGGTTCTCAGCCTACTTAAAATTTAATTTATATACTAATTGGCATTTTTAACGTGCCGTAAATTGCTTTAAAGCTGTATCTTACTACTAATGTGTGTCACATATCATTATCTTCGATTTTGATTGATGCGAACATACCCGTTGTTGGTACTATTTATTCACTCAAATATGGATGTGATCAGCGTAGAAGGAAAGGTTTTGGACACAGATGACTTCCAAAGGCAAATGACCTTTTTAAACACACTTTCACTTTCTGTACACAACGCTTCATTTACTCTTTTAGGACCTTCGACAGGGGTCTCTACAGCGTAATGAAACAGTAAGCCTACATAATCGCTTAAAAATTCAAAGTCACCTGTACTACTAACTTTTGCATCGAGATCTGGGTCACCTCGTCCTGGGACTAAGAAGCAATCTTTATACCTGCTACATTTTCTCGGTTAGGTTTTTCGTCTATGTCGGATAAATGTGTTTCTATGGAGCTTAATGGGGATCAAAATTACACACAAGTGGTCAGTTTTGGGGTTATATTTGGGTTTAGTTAAAAACAAAAATATTAAGGGAATGGGAAAAGGTCATGTCAAAGCCTAATTTATATGCATTGAGTCTGCAAACTTGTCCCGGCGGCAGAAACCTACAGAAGATCGAAACACTCTAAGAACTATCTGGACAACTAATGATGTCTAGTAAGTAAATTGACTGTTCAAAGTGGTGCATGAGTTTCCTCATAGCATAAAGTTAATATTACTCAAAGCAGTTATGAATAGGGAGACACGGCTATAGTCCAAAGTATTCAAGCTTAAAAAAACGACTGTAAAATAGGTAGATGCGCTCACTGGGACAATATTTATATTTGTCTGACTTTTTGGGACCTAAGCACGAACCTATAGTCAGATCTGATGATGGTTACGACAGCGAGGAGGCTAGTGATGATGTCTGTTGATCATGGGCCTGAAATAAGAGACACAAAAAGCAAATACGTTATAATCTTACCTACAAAGGCAGTAAATATCGAAAACATTGGCCAGGAGAACAACCGCATAGCTGGGAAGGGAATGCAAGGCGATAAACATGTAGGAAATCTGTCAAGATTCAGTGATACCGCCTGTGGCAAACGGTAGGCATGGACGGGCTATTTCGCCACATTAGACACTGTACTCAAATCCGGCACTAATTTCTAGACTTTCTTTTGACATCGGGTTGACAATCAGTTTGAGTCCGTTCAGGAAATTACATGCGCGGTAGGTGCTAGTTTATACCAAAAACTTTAAACTAGTTCACGTGCACAACATTGTCGCCTGGCTCACCTTGATGTGAGACATTCAGAAGACATAGTCCTTCAAGATGACAGCAGATCAAGCTGAAGCTAACTGCAGTGGTATCGATATGTGCCGGATCTGGTGCAGTGGTGGACAAAACAACTACGTCGGCAAAACCGAGAGATTACTCTGGACGCAAATAGCCTTGCACGCAGCGGCGGTGAGGAAGAAAGACGCTAACTCCTAGGCTGCAGCTCACTCAACGGTACCCGGCCATATTTTCAAGTTTAACGAGACCGTACAATCTTTGCCTGTATCACCCCATCTGCGCATGTCTTACATTAGCCAACGGTTACTAATGATAAAGAATTCTCGACAGAATCCGAAACGTCAAGAAAAGAATATTTCTGTTCCAGAAATCAGATCCTTTTCTGATTTGTGCTCTGTTGGTACTGGTAGGAAGTTTGACCTATTGCGCTGTCGACTGTCATTGTCAGACTATTGTGTCAGGGCAATCGTTTATAAAGACAAGAACAACTCTTCAGAAAAGGTGATACGAGAGGCTTTTCCTGCTGTGTCATTACACCCACTGATTCTAGAAGTTCGCCTGCCGTACGCTTTTGTTGTATGCTTTCCAGTCGAACTACATAGAAAGCAATTGATCCTAAAATGCGCTACAGAGCTACCGGTTCATTCCGCTAAAGACGGTCTTGAATAGATAATTGGTTAAGTCAGGTGATAATAAAGGATCCAATTATTAATGTTTTAATGGCTCGGAATTCAGGCAGCTAGAGACTGACCTGATAATGCCTCGACACCAAGATCATATCATAATTGCCTAGCCCTTAATTCGTTGGCGGACATCAAGGCAGGAATTTCGTTCCTTTTAAGCTTGAACAAAAAACAACAATATTTGAAAATACGAGAGTATTAGTCCAAAGAACATCTTAGTTATATCTCTAACGATAAAGAAATCCGAAATCTTCAGCCTTTGATAAAATCAAATCCTCCTTTTCATGATAACCAGGCATTGCTTTTTCGCTTTTCATAGATGCAGTCTGAGTCAAAAGAATAAATCACCTTCATTCCCTTTCAGCTATATTTATATACCATGGCGGAACTTTCTACTATCAATAACTCCGCGTGCCTCCGTGGTGCTTAAAGAACTAAGCGCTGTTTTCAGTGCCGCATTTACATACATTTTTGCGCTGTCGTTTCACACATGGAACAGAGGAAACTGTGAGTTTTTGCTGCTGGTTTTAAGCCTCAAGTCGTTTCTACCGTGTGTTGGTTTGTAACAGAGACTTGTTCGACCGTGGCACTTTTGACAGGTCTAACGGACGAAATGACACTCGAACTGGGAACATCCTTTCAGGAGATTCATTCTAAGTTGCATGAAATCCATTATATTGCGTATAAATTTGGTTTGCAGCGAACGTCATCTTACGGGATTATTCCAGGCCAGCCGAACAAATGCACACAGAAACGTTTGTAAACAGATTTCATAATAGGATCAAGTTACACCTGCAACTGCATGGAGGGAATTCCGGATGACTTATGAAA